GAAGCGATATCATTGATACGAAGAAGCCAGTAGTTACCGTACAAACGGACCGGCGCTCGCAGTGAGAGCAGATTGCATGTAGCGTGAAGCGTATGGTTGTTATCAAAGGTTATGTTTGGTTTTCGGAAGGAGTATTTTCGAAGATTGTTTGATTGAGAACCCCGTCTCTGGAGTAGCATCGTCATTTTGGTGATGGTCCACTGGTAGAGTGGTTGACCTTCAACTTTCCGATGTTACAGCAAAACTACCACTCCGAAGCTACTATGGCAGATGCCTCACAAGCAGCTCATCTCTATTGGGGGATAGCCAGCTCAGTGTAAAACATTATGCTTCGGGGGAGCAATTCTCAGCCATTTCAATGACACAAGAATCAAACAAGTGATTGAACATACTCACTTTTCCTGTGAGGTAAGAGTAAGCTGCCATTTTGATGTTATGCAGTGTTGAAAGCATGGTCGAGTAAACAACGGTTACCTGCCAAGAACAAAACAAAGTGGAACAACACATCAGCACAGGGTGAAAGACCAGTTGTTGAAGATTATGATCCTCCCCTTAGTTATAGTATGAAGAGAACATACAAATATTTAGTAGGATCCACCGACTGCTCTGGGAAGAAACCGAGTATGAACTGAATCCTACTCTGATTACAACCATGAATAGGATCACAGAAATCAGATGGTGATATAATCGCATGTATAGTGCAGTTCGCTGCGGACGGTTGGGCGTGTCAGTGCGGCTGCGTTTGGCGCGGTGCCAAACTCGTTCTCCACCAGTTGTTGAAGGGGCAAGTGACAATACTGTATCATATCCTTCGTATTACTCGTTTTCTACCACTTTTTGTCGCATGCGCGCTTCAACAAGAAGGCAGAGAAGCCTTTGATGGGGTGACACACTCATACTGCCTAACACGCCCAACCGTCCGCAGCGAAGTAGAGTGCCAGAGTGCATACCTCCTCTTCCTCTTGCACACCGTAATTACTCTCCTGCAAACCTCGTCGCTGGCAACGAGAACTGTGTGGCTCACGTTAGCCATGCACCCAATCTCCACAGTGTCGCACAAAGAGAAAAGCCGCCTGGGAAAAGCCCTAGGAAAGATGTCTTATTGTTTCCTGACAGGACTGATGGGGATCTGCTGGCTACTGGTACGACAATGATGATCGTTCTCTGTTGAACTTCGGCTCCTCCAAAACATCCAATTCAAAGGAAAAATCCACGATAATTCTCCTAGGCGTGTAAGGTGAACACGCTCAACACCAAGAGAAACCGCGACCATAAGGGAGCCACACATGGCATCGTCTCCGCCTAAGAGCGGTCTTTAAGATTGTCAGGAAGGCTTATTATACCCACCTGTACTCCCACCAACACGACACTCCCGCAAGTGGCCACATCAATCAACAATTGACCACAATCGGATCACCTGTTTACACCCACATGCTGCGACTTAACTGCGCTTTTTTCCCTTCTTAAAGGCTCTTTTCGAACAGCTAAGTCCTCACTGGTGACGAAGATATCTAGCTGGCGCTGTTTGGCGACGAGAGAGGGGGCATTTTGCACTTTAACGACTTTCCATCGACGTGTCGACCCATCTACAGCCTCTTCTCGAGTTGACAGGTTTTACCATGATGGCTTGACGAGCTTGCTCCAGCTTCACAAGAGTTCACAGGTTTCACCAGAGTGAGACTTGTAAACCAGAACTAGTGAAGCAATGAAAGTGCAAAATGCCCTCCGTCGGCAAACTGCGCCTATCTTGCTTCGACAGAATGCAGGGCTTCCTTGCAAGCAGTGCCCGTTTTGAATTTTTAATTTCTTTTACTTTTTTGGTTTTTTTTTCCACTCTTCCCGCAAGATTTTTTGTGACACCACCTTCTCGCTACAGCTTCCATCATTGGAGCAAGTAAACGGGTATATTCGGGGGTTTCCAACCGTATGTTCCGTTTTTGCTTTGTCGTTCTAGTCAGTACCTCTGGAGCCGGCACTCAACTACTGAACTTCTTCGACAGGCTAATACTATACAGGCTTTTTAACGAAGTGTGAATGTTACGTGATACTTGGCAATAAGCGTTGATAAGAGTCAATGACAAGTGATTATGGAAAGAACTGCTACTCTGCTACGCCAGGTTTGCTGGCGTACCAATTACTCTTGCAAAGGTTAGTGGGGGATTGGTCATGCTGGATGGGGTGCTGGGAGTTGAAGAAACTCCAGCTAGAAATTTTGTTCAAAGCGTCACAAGAATTTCCGTCCTACATAATAGAAGCAATACAATGAGTGTGAACTTACCTGATGGCATAGTAAGAAATATCTAGAGGATATCGCACACCTCAACCCTTTTATGTTCAGCGTTCTGCTAATACTACGAATGAGCCTTCTCGCGGTGTTTTCAGCACTATTTGCTATAAATCGATCACTAATCAATCACTATAGGTAGAAAAGATAGCAGGAGGCGGGCCCGTTCCGCCTCTTTCGACCGACTTATTGCGACAATACCATCAAATGTGGAACGCTAACAATACAGGACACTTTTAATCAATTTATATATACAGAATGACTCGGACCTTGAAATCGTTTTCACCACTTGTCACTTCAGATTCATTGCAAAAGACTTGGATCATCTTGACACAGCTGCCTTTCTTGGTATTCCAGCCACGGCGTCCTGTGAACAAGACAATTAGAGACCTGATCAAGGCAACTGACACGGTAAATAGGCAAGGCGTAGATGGTTGACACATCTAGCACGAAAGAGTATTATCTTACGCTGCGCTTCATGGCGCCTTTTCTAGCCAAGTAACCCGTTACAGTGTACAGTTACCACGGTCCAAAGTGCCAGCCCAGACGCCCACAGCAACCGCCCGCCCACAATTGGCCGCGCAATCAAAACGACACTGGCACTCTTATCGCCTCATTTATAAAGTACAACTTATATGAAGCGTTGCTACATGGATATAAGAATATATGCGTGCAGCCGTATCAATAAAAGCGATCGTTGGCACGATGCTCGTCCAAAAATGCTCTTCCAATGCCGTGTAAAACAGAGGTTTTTCTTTCAGTTTCCTGCCAATTAGTCCCGCTTATTCGTCGTAAGGTGAGACATCATTCGTTTCCCTTTGGCCCAACATCACACTAATGGGAAGAGTCGTGGGAGTCTGTTTCTGGGAAATGAACCGGGCGGAGGAAAACGATGTATTGCTGGCTATTGATGTCCTCCTTGGGGGCGAATCACCAAAGAGTCAGTCATCCACCGCCTGCTTTGAAATTGCCCATAGTACAATATTTAGTTCAGGTTGCACTGCTCCTAAAAGTTTCTTCGCGCAAGAATGTCTGCGCAAATCCGCCTCTTCTCACTGCGTCGTCGTTGTCGAAACGACGTCGACAAAACTCCTCACGACAACGCTCGTCCACATGTCGCGAAAATCACTTTGGAAAAAATTGAGGAATTGGGCTGGGAAGTCCTGCCTCATCCGCCATACAGCCCAGACCTGGCACCATCCGATTACCATCTGTTCCGGTCGATGCAGCACTCCCTGGCCGAGAGAAAGTTCACAAACCGCGAAGAAGTCCAACTCTGGGTGTCCAACTACTTTGAGTCGCAGCCGGCCGAGTTCTTCGAAAGAGGAATCCATTCTTTGCATAAACGTTGGCAACAAGTCATTGATAGTAATGGAGATTATCTTTTGAATTAATCTTGTTTAATTTCGTTTTTATAATAAAAAATTTTCAAACTCAAACGCGCATTTCTTTCCGAACAACTAAAAGTATTATGCTTGTGATAACATTTGATATCACAACTAATACTTTTAGGACTAGAGAGTTCATTTTTTGAAGGCCGTGTTTTCTGACTTCAAGCTACCTGTGCAGTGATCGCCATACTGTCCAAAGTAGTTGTGTATTCGTATTCGTTATCAGGCGCCTCTTTCATCTGGTTATGACATGAATCGGCGCTACCGCCCTGTAAAGAAACCTCCATCGGTTATAGTCCCAAAAGAAACTACGACTTTTTCGAAGTATGTGTTCAAAGCGTATTTTTTGTTGTTTTGCTCAGAACTTCCTTAAATGCGCGAACACGCACTCTCGCACTTCACAGAGCTTGCAATCAGGGTAGGTAGAGTTGGCACCTAATCTTACTAGTATGCACCACTAGGAGGTGGTGTAATGACAACTGGCGCTCACCACTCGTACGGCCCTGGGTTCCAATCCCGGGTTGAATCCGCCCAACCAAGCCTTCTACCCTCCGGGGACGGTAAATTGGTACCAGATTCGTCTGGGAGGATAAGAACACTGACCTTGTACATCGGCTGGCCCCGCAAGTCATTGTATAGGCCACATCGCATTCAATAAGCCACTACGATTCTGAATGGAAGTAGAATGCGTGCCGCATCTCACCAAAGGGATTGCTCAACGGCGAAGACTTTAGCCTTTTTATTCTTTATGCTCCACTTCCGCCCAAGGCACGCCATCGCGTTGTGATCATTCCCTCATTTCCTGAAAAATACGACCCACTCTATTCTTAAATACGACCCCCCCCATGCTACCTACCTCTATTCGAAAATTTCCAGCTTTTCAGCTAAGAATTTTCCGTCGAACGGAAGGTGGAGGGGGGGGGGTATATACCCAATGTGAAACAGGAAAATTTCTCAGATTTTCCCTAACCTCCCACCAATTTTTCCGAAATTTCCCAAAAAATTTCTGGTTTTCCCCACGATTTCGCTCTCGAGGGGAGTCTCAGGATTTAACTATCATTTTCATCTATCGGAAATAGTACTGTATAGATTTTTGGCAGTCCCTTGCTCAACAACGGCCAAATACAACTCCCCCCCCCCTTTATACCGTCCGTGAAACAAGAGAAATCGAACTACCAAAAAATTTTTTCCCTGTCCAAATACGCCTCCCACTCCCTCGCGGTCAAATACGACCCCCTCCCTTTGTGATCATGACAACGATGGCGTGTCCTGTTCCCGCCTTCAAAGTATACTTTTGTATTTTCAGTAGCACAGCGATCTAAAACAGCTGGTGACAGCTACAACCCTATAGTGCCATACCTCCACACAATACCTGCACTTTCAATCTCTCCAAAGTCGCGCTTCCCTTAATCGAAGGAGAAGCTGTGGTCAGGGATTTCGTAAGGCAGCAAACCTTTGTACAGTGAATGGGAATCTCTATGTTTCCTACGAAAATCGAGGCGTGGCGCACTAGCCTTCGCAACCCAGCTCATTCAAAAATTTCCTCTAGACGTCACTTACTTGCTTATGTGCATTGTCGAACAATTTGGCGTTACTCAAACCACGCATCGTCTCGTAGTTTGGATTAGTCGCCTCCACTACTTGCTGCTGGCTCGGTCTAGCGAAATCTGATTTGTCTTGCACGTTTTCCTGAAACATCGTACCAAAACATACAGGATGAAACACCGGCTGCATACTTTCCATCTCTCGCACATGAAGAGGGCACGGTTGAGCACTTCATTTGAAAGTGGCGCAGGGTGCACTTTCAGCGGAAATTCACCATATTTTGCACAATTATAACACAAAATGTACACCCGCCTACGAGCAAGGTCCTTGTTTGTAAAGGTGAATGGGTTCGCAGCCGCAACAGCGTGACAACTTCTTCGCTCAAAAGTGCACAGGAACAGGGCAGGAAGGTAGTTTGCCGTCTCCAGACTCCGCCAACCTTACCCTCGAGATGCAGCCCTTCCCTCGATACAAAGATCCCACAACGGGACACACACACTCAGCTATGGAGAACACTAACATTGGGAGGGCGCGGACAAGTATGTAGCGCGTTTGTTATGGCTGGGCTGCGCTGAGCTGGCCATGAGACAAGCGGGCGGAGTCAAAAGAGGCACAGAGGTAGCTGCTGACCCATTCACATATTCACCGAACATGGCAAGGAGCAGGACCGCGGACGTGACTGTGGAGTTTGGTGCTAAGCTTCACAGGAGGTCGTTCATTCGTTCAAGACGAGATCGTGTTTCACCTTGGATGGTGGCTTCGGTTGACTTTTTGGCTTCTTTTCAGGTGCTTCTTGTTTTCTTTCTCGTAATTTGACTTGTTTTTGGGGAGCAGGCGGCGTCGTCTGCAATGATGCATCCGATTACTTAGGTGTGAGTATTTATGACGTCGATGTATCCTTGCAAATGAGAGGGACTGCGAGGGGGGATGTGCTGTGCCTGGACTGCACTGGGCGGTCGAATCTCCTACTCGTACTCGCGCCCATCCAGGATCGCAACAACTGGTAGGAAAGGTTGTTTGCAGGGCTAGTGAGTGCATCTGGTTCGATATAAAGCTCCGAAGTAGCTATTTACCTTGAACATTTTTGCAGGTTCGGTTCTCTGCTGGCTTTTTACTTTTCCTGTTTCTTGCTTGATTTGTACTTGCTGTACAGGCTTTTGATCTTTCTCTGTTTCTGGCATATAATCTGCACTTGTGCGAATAGATATCAGTGAACAATTTAGTTTATGGTCCATAGTTGCAGAGGTTCTGGCTTTCTCTCGCCTGCTCCTTCGATCAACGGACGTATAGGAGACTGATCGCCTCCACACACTATGTTGGTACGTATAGAGTAGTAACAGTCGACAATAAGCGCCTCCTGACCGGCGGAGGTAGTGTAGAGGCAAGTTTATTTGTCATTCAATAGTTTCATCGATGCACGCGTGTGTACATCGAAATCAGTCGGGGGGGGGGGGTGTGAAAAGGGCAGGATGAGCCCGGCCGCGCTCTGCCTTCATCCCTGCGCCCTCTTCCCGAGGCATGATATGTTCTAGGATAATATGGTCATATTTCACTCTCTCTCTCTTGGATTTCGCCGTTGCCTTGTCTGGGCCACCTCAACGCTCGGTACAGTGGTCTCTCCCGGAGCACATATTGTCAAATGCTCGTTCCAGAACTGCATTGGACAAAATTAGAAGCCCGTATACAGGTACACATGCGAGAGCAGGTCCATTTGGAAGAGGGTTACGGAACGTCAGCGCAAATCCCTCATTGCCAGTCCCATACAGCTAGGTACAATCTTCTTCGCTGCGGATGACGTGTCAGGAGGATGGGTATGGCGCGGCGGCAGCCCGTTTCTTTTCTTTTTTCTCTGCAAGTGGCAAAGCTGTACCATAGTCGTTTCCACCAATTACGGTCATTTACCCGCTTCAACAACTGCTGGGGAACGACTGGCGGCACGCCAATCCACCCGCGCTGACACGCCACATCATGAGCAGGAACGAAACTGTAACTCGTTCCCTTTTTCGCTGCGCAGAAGTGCTTTTATGTGGGGCCCTATTATCGCGACTACTGCCTCGCGCTGAAACGCTGAAACTGGCAGAAGTGACATGTCATACTACTGAGGTATGGAACTGATGTTGTACACACGCAAACTAATATAGATCTTGCAACGGTTTCCCATTTTGGCTTATATGAACCTGTGTCCACAAAGGAAAAAGTAGGCTCAAAATGGAGGGTTACCTTACTGGAGGCAGATCAGACTGCATCGTATACAAGGATGTTGTAGAGG